TATACCAGGTGACATACTTGATGATGATGGTGATGCCGTATTAGGTAAAGTTGATGTTGTTTGTGATATACCAGGTGACATGGTTGACGATGCTGATATTATACTCGATACAGTTGATGTCATTGGTGATGATAACATAGTCGACATTGTCGTTATTTGAGGCGTACTAGAGATCATAGTCATTGTACTGGATGAAATCACTGTTTGAGATGTGTCAATGTTGTTGGACATTGATGATGGTGATAAGATGTTAGATGCAGTTGATGTTGTTTGTGGTATACCAGGTGACGTAGTTGATGATGCTGATATTATACTTGATGCAGTTGATGTCGTTGGAATATTAGGAGTAGCTGGCATTGGTGATGATGATATACTCGACATTGTGATTATTTGTGGTGTATCAGAAATCGTGGCCATTGTACTTGATAAAACCAATGTTTGAGATGTACCAACGTTATTGGTAGTTGATGATGATGGTAACGTATTGGATGAAGTTGATGTTGTTTGCGATATACCAGGTGGCATAGTTGATGATGGTGATGATGATGCCGTATTAGATGAAGTTGAAGTTGTTTGTGGTATACCAGGTGACATAGTTGATGATGATGCCGTATTAGATGAAGTTGATGTTGTTTGTGGTATACCATTTGACGTAGTTGATGATGCTGATATTATACTCGATGCAGTTGGTGATGATAACATTGTCGTTATTTGTGGTGTACCAGAGATTATAGTTATTGTACTGGATGAAACCCCTGTTTGGGATGTACCAACGTTGCTGGTCATTGATGATGACGATGTTTGTGGGATACTAGGTGACGTAGTTGATGATGGTGACAATGTATTAGACGAAGTTATTATCGATGACATATTAGAGGTAATAATCGTTAATGATGATGATGTACTAGATAACGTCGCTGTTTGTGATGTATCCATGGTGTTGATTGAATTGGATGAAGATGTTGTTTGTAATGGTCTTGTAGTAGTGATTCTTGTTGTAGTAGGACGAGTAGTAGTAGTAGTAGGGTTTGTTAATGAAAATTCTGGTTCTACATGTTCATTAGTTCCATTTAAAATATCTTCCATCCATTGCCAATAATATGACAGACGAGTATAAATACCAGGATATCCAGGTCGTCCACAATCAAAGTTATATCCAACAATACCTTGTTGTTCCCAGTAGTCGCCAGTCCAGTATAAAATTGGTCCACCAGAATCACCTAGAGAAAGATAGAAACTATTTTATGAACTTACTTCGACAAATAAATACTGAACATACCTAAGCAGGCATCTAAAAGAAAAGGAAAACAAATATAATATTGAGTATTTTTCTTTTAGATTTAGTTAATGCATGACAGCAAGTGTTAAAAGAGCCACATAGTCCTCATGTATAAGTTTACGTACCTTGTTCACCATTGTAAGAACCAGCACAAAATTGAGATTCATTATCACCAATTATCTGCTTACAATTCTGATCTTGATTATCTATTACAGGAACTTGTATTTGTTGAAGATAATTCGATAGCTGAAAACTTCCTGGCTTTACTGCACCCCATCCAATAACAACAAGACGTGTTCCATTCTTTGGTTGTTGTTCAGTAACAGATGTAGATGAATTGATACGACGTATACATGTCTTTGCTATTATGGGATTATTTTGAAAAGTCAATGGACGACTCATATGTAATAGTGCTATATCGTTGAAAAAATGTGGTCGACCCGTATAATTTTGATGTATATAAATTCGATCAATACTTCTTTGATAGCCACCCGAATCTGATCGATTCGTAACACCGGCAATGATAGTCATATTTACAGGTTGTATAGATGAAAAATGATCAACACAATGTGCAGCAGTTAAAACATACGAACTCGAAAGTAATGTTCCTGCACAAAAATGTTCATTATTTCCATAGAAACGTAGAGAAACAATCATTGACCAACTATCTTCAACTACATCTTCACCACCAAAAATACGAGTTGGACGAAAACTTACATCACTATATCCACAACCACATGATTTACTTCTATCGCATTCATAATCAAATAATGGTTTTACAGAAGTTGTAGTATCCGGTTCAGCAGTTATAATATTATCAAAATTTATAATTGATTCAATCCAATCATAATAGGCAGCAGCACGTACAAAAACTCCCTTATAACCAATGCCTGAACAACCATCCATAGCATTAAATTGAATACCAATTAATTTCCAACGATTTCCA